TCTCTCTCTCTCTCTCTCGCCATCCCTGCTCCTCTTCTGTAGGTCTCCCCACTTCATCCAACCTTATTCTCCCGGTCTCCTTCAGTGATCCCAGAATAGCCGCACACCGGACGCACTCTCTACCACAATAGTGGGGGGGTTTGGATTTCGGGGTGACTTGAGAGACGCCGGAGATGGATTAAAGGGACTGTGCACCGCAAAACTGGAGCAGCACGCACGACCACGCCGGGGGGGAAGGGGGCGACGGGACTCGGTGAATTCGCGAAGCCCCCGGGAGAGAGGTGAGTGTGCGGGCTGTCCGGTGGCATTGTGGCTCTCTCCCCCGCATGCATCCCCAGCAACCTACCGCTCCTCAGCACATGGTTTTCACGTTTCCATAATTGATGATCTCATACGCAATCTGCTGATTTCTGCTTGTGGAGTAACAGCGATATTATAGATATAATATAATATACTATTATGTTCCTTTATTGCGGCTCATTTATGTACAGTGGCTACTGCTAATCTGGACAATAACCACCTAAGGTGATTGCCTTGAGAAAACAGCAATTACATCAAATTGCATGTTCAGAAAAACATGTTATTTGGAAACATGCAACCATCACTACCAATTTGTACACACGTTATTGAATTTATATTATTATTATATTAATAGCATCTTAAAATGATGGTTGAACTGTGTTCTTCAATTCAAAAGGAGGTGCTATAAGTTGTGTGAACCCTCCTCCACATCAAGTGGTGCATATGGCCCTTTATGTCTCTCTTGCTGTTAAGGGCCCTGCAGTGGACATGGCTCTGCAGCAGTCACTTTTTAGATGAGTGAATGGAGAGAAAGATTAAATTGTACTGTTACACTTTATGTTCACCTCATTCTTTCATTTTCAAGTTCATGTTTGTGAGCCATGGGTCATAAAAGAGCAGTGTGGATTCTTATTTTAATGCTTAGTCAATGGTCCATTGGAAGACACCATGGAGTAGTCAGTACTACACTATACTGTATGGTAATATTGTAATTTGCAGACCTATGTGGAATCAACAAAAACATTTTCTTGAGGCAAATATTTCTATGCTTTATTTTAATTTGAATTAATAAAAAGTATTAATGTTTTGTAAATAAGACTGTTCATTCTGAAGAACATGTTAACTAGAACGACACCACTACACAACACACTTTGGTGAACAGTTAAGCCAAAAAGAAGACTGTCCCTTTCCATCAAAAGACATAATAAGCATAATGAATGTATGTGACTGCAGCAGCTGACTACTTTCAATATTGATTCATCAGTCAATGATTTCCTCAGTTAATCAATTCAGTTAGTCCTCAGATATCTTATTTTGTCTAACCAACAATACTGAAACGCAAAGATATCAAGTTTGCTATCAGAAAAACAGCAAATCTTCTTATTTAAGAACCTAAAATGAGGTAATGCTGGGCAATATTGCTTGAAAAATTACTTCAGTAATTACAAAAATAGCTGCCAATTACTTTCTTGTCTATCGATTAATTGATTTATTGTCTGATCATTTCAGCTCTATGCCATGCAGTGCTATAATGCTCATGTGTATGATATCCGCTAAAATGTTATTATATATATATGCAAATCTGTACACCATTCACATCAATTACTACAGCTTTGCGAATTCAGTTCAGTTTGCCATAGATATGGAAATATAATTTGTGCACCCGCCCCATGATTCAGATCCATTCCAAAATGTAATAAGTTCTTTCTTGGCCAACGCTACAACTTTCCAACTTTAATGAAAATGGGCCAGTAGTTTTTCTGTAATCCTGCTTACAAACGAACAAACATCACTGAAAATACAACCTCTTTAGTGGAAGTAATGAGTGGAGAGTACATGCTTTCCAACAGGGCATGAGGGGTCACTGGGTGGTCACATATGAACATGATGTGAATCATATGTATATAACACAGTTGAACACCTATAGCAGATTCTTGTTAGACAGCTTTCTGTAGCAGCATGAAAACACCATATTGCAACATATCTATCACATCTATAGTCAGCCTGACATACAAAAAGCTCATTGCACTACTCTACTGTGTAATACCATACTCTAATACTAGTCTAGTCTTTCTCTTACCACCCCCACCCCCTCGCTACTGTTGTGTTGGTGGTCACTGAGTCTTGTATCTTCCTCGCCGTCTGACACACTGTTTCTGTCCACCGCAGGCTATATAACCCACCTCACTCTGACACATACACACAGAGGAGATGTGCACAAATTGCATAGAATATACACACACATCCAAACAGTGCCATGATGTTTGCAAGCACAAGCATACAGCAGCTCAGACTACGCATATTTTGCAGTCTCACACACAAATATGACGTGCGCCAGAGGACAAATGCTGGTGTGACAGATAAACGAGCCCCTTTCTTCAGTAAAGAGGCTCATTCGGTGTGTGTTTGTGTGTGTGTGTTTGTGTTTGTGATGTGAGTTGGGGTGAGGTTTAAGTGCTGACTGGAGTAGGTCACTGAGACCAAGCGGCTGGGAGAGTGAGACCCCAGGACCCAGAGTCTTCCTAAGCTGCTTTCAGCTACACTGGAATCCATCCATCCCAATATCCTCCGTGTCTCTGATCCTCACCCGCCACCAACCCCCCTCTCGCCCCACCAGCACTAGACATACACATCTACCAGACATACACAAACTCGAGCTACACTCTTCTGCTTTTCGTTTTTTTTTTATCATTCGTCTTCTTTATGTCTTTGATCTCCGCTTATCTTGTCCCCGGTTCTCTCCTATTCTCCTCTCCTCTCCTCATCCCTCCTTTCGTCTCCTCTTCATTTCTAGCAGTCATGGAAATTAGACTGTAGCAGTCTTTGATTCCCTGTGCCTTACACCGCCTCAGGGTCAGGCCCTCTTATCTAGTAGAGAAAGAGAGAAACAGACAGAAACAGAGAAAGGAGATAAAAAGAAGGGGAAGAGGCAGGGAGAGAGAGGTGTTAGGACAGAAGGACAGATAGCAAGAGAGGGGAAGGTGTAGAAAGGTAGGAAAAGCAGAGACAGGGATTTGTAGAAAGCCATTCTGAAAAAAGACAAAATGGGAAAGAGAAAGAAAAGCAGAGAAAGGGCAGGAGAGAGAACTAAGCAAAGTTAAAAACCAAGCAAAGAGACAATAAAATGGAGAGTAAGAGGTACCAGGAGGCAGATGATGACAAGAGGCAGAAATAGGTAGAAATGCCTAGACAGCTTACAGCCACTATGATTTTCCTCAAGAATAGTATATTTGGATTGAAGGTGTTTTCTGCTGATTTTGTGCTCATAGTCAATCTGCCTTAAATTTGACTGTTTGTGTCACAAAAAGAGGAAATTGCAATTGAAATTCGGTCACACTTCAGTTGGGTCAACAGGACTGTGACACAATGCACAGAAAATTTCACTGCATGTTTTAGAGAGTGACACAACAAACCCTGATCATCACAATCATGGCTTTTTTTTTTTTGGATAGAATGCAATTTATAATAAAGTAATTATTGACCAAACAAAAGCAAACCAAGATATCAGAATAACCATTCTGGTAGAAAATTAGTTAAACACAGGGAACTAGGGGTAATAAGGAGAGATAAAAAGAGAGGGTTTGTAAAATGAAGGCAGTTTAGTAGGAAGGGGAGGGGATGGATGGAAGGAGATTGAGAAAATGATAAGTAAAATGGGACACGGAGAGGTGGGAGAGGTAAAGGGGGCGAGATGGAGTGAGGGAGATTGAGGGAAATGGGTAGAGGACAGAGATCCAGAGATAGAAGGACAGGCAGAGAATATGGAGAAATAGGGAGCTGTAGGGAGAGCTGTAAATATTTAACTGTGTTTAGTTTTCCATTTGGGCCTTTAGCTCTTATTTCTCTCTGAGGCCTCCTGATCGCCTACAGGTTACTGATGGCAGGAGATGTCTGCATGTGTGCATGTCTGAGTTTGTGAGGAAAATGAATTAAGTGTGCAAGAACCATTTGTAAGTTTACCCTAGGGGAGGATTCATTCAAGTAATTCAGAGCTTCCTTTTAATTACGATTTTGTCTTTTTCTGTTTTGTAGATTTCCCCATGAATTTTCAACACAGAGCATCTTAATAATCTTGTGTGTGTGTGTTTCTGTCACTCTGAACATGTATTTGCACACACGTGTGAGAGAATCACTGAGCATGGTTATTAAGTGTGCATGTGCACAGTAGTAGGCCTAGTTATTGAATGTGAATGGGTGTGAAAAAACTAATAATCCACCCCATTACCAAACACTTTAACAAAATTGCTCAGAATACATTTTAATTGTCTGTTTACTAATCCAAGGTCTCATTCTTTCAAAGTAATGCATTCAAATGTGTGCATTTTAAAACTTCTCAGCCTTAAACAGCCTTTGAAAACTTTTTGAACCTATGTTTCATTCATCAGATAAGTCTATGCCTGGCAGAAGTTTGAATATCTTTATGATGCTTTCAGAAATATTGATGGTGGAAAAATCCATGAAAGCGCTCTGAAACTTCTGTCTGACATTTCTTTGCAATCTGTTATCCCAACAGGCTGTGACTGGTCCCACCCCAAGATGACATCCCCCAAAAACAAAGCCAAGAAAAAACCACCTAAAGACAGCATGACGCTGCTGCCGTGCTTTTATTTTGTAGAGGTATGTGGCGATAGATTTAATGTATTGATGAATCACCTTTTTTATATACTAGTGCTTGGTAAACGTGACTCACTACATTTACCGAACTGAACACTAACTGATTCACTCTTTCTGCTGTATAGAGTCGCACTAATAGTCAGTTTTTATGTTGATCGCACCTAAATGCATCTGACCACTATTGTAAGCAGAGTTTGATGTTCTTCACAGGCAAATATTATGGTGTCATCACTTTCTTCTTTCCCCTTGTGTGTGTGAAGGTGTGTATTAGTTGAGATAAAACATTGGCTGAATCACCTCTTTCCAAACAAATATTAAATGCTAGTCACTCTATTTTGTCCTTGTCCTTGTCCTTGTGCGTGTGGCGGGCGTGCATGTGTGTGTGTGTGTGTGTCTGTGTGTACTAGCTACCCATAGTCCTGTCCTCCTTGGTGTCCCTGTACTTCCTGGAGCTGACAGATGTGCTGGCCCCGGCAATGGTGGGCTTCCGTTGCCATGACCGCGACCTCTCCATGCCCTACGTGGAGACCGGCGATGAGCTCATACCGCTGTTGATGCTGCTGAGTTTGGCCTTCGCTGGTCCTGCAGCGTCCGTACGTC